ACCGCTGGGCCAGGAAATATGAAACTCATGTGGAATCATCCTCAGGTAGTGTAGATTCAAGTTTGTTCAAATCATGACCCCCGGGGCAAGGGTGGGGCCAAAATGGCCGACCCAAGTTTTACATAGGAATATATAGGAAAAATCTTTAAAAATCTTCTTCTCCAGAACCACTGGGCTAGGAAAGATGAAACTCATGTGGAATCATCCTCAGGTAGTGTAGATTCAAGTTTGTTCAAATCATGACCCCAGGGGCAAGGGTGGGGCCAAAATGGCCGACCCAAGTTTTACATAGGAATATATATGTAACATCTTTAAAAATCTTCTTCTCCAGAACCACTGGGCCAGGAAAGATGAAACTCATGTGGAATCATCCTTAGGTAGTGTAGATTCAAGTTTGTTCAAATCATGACCCCCGGGGCAAGGATGGGGCCAAAATGGCCGACCCAAGTTTTACATAAGGATATATAGGGAAACCTTTTAAAATCTTCTTTTCAAGTACTTCAAAGCTATGATTAGTGACACCCGGGGTAATTATATGGAATCATCCTCAGGTAGTGTAGATTCTAGTTTGTTCAAATGATGAACGCCTGGAAGGGGGGAGGGAGTAAATTCAAGCCCGATGTGCTCAGGTGAGCGCTGTGGCCCCTGGGCCTCTTGTTTGATACTGATTTGGACAATAGAAAAAAATGCAATCCTCAAAAATACCCTTTTAATTATCCTCTCACAATGGAGTTAGAAGGAATAAAGAAACACAATCGTGTGAGTTCGTTTGTGAGTAAGTTTGCGCTGTAAGAAGGTTACGTAAATTGCATCGGGATATGAATGCTGCCTTCACTTTGCGATGGGATGTTCCGCCTTGCAACTTGTTTTCAAATTAAAGTCCAGTGTTACAACGTACTCTGAAAAATTATGTATATTTTCAAAGTGCCGTAAGTGCCTCCATAGTGGAAAAATATTGATGTACACTCTTAACGCACCCACTCAAAGTGGGTAAATTCTTTTATTCAAAATTTGACAAACTTTGAATTTTTTTTTTTAAAGTGCGTATTTTTTTCAAAGTGAGTTGCCACAGTCCAGGCTCGAGGAAACTATCTTTTACTTTTGTAATCCTATACGTTGGTATCAATTCAGCCGAAGACTTTAAATAGACATGGACATAGTTTAAACTGATTTTTTTACCAATAATTATGTCTCCAATTCCCAATTAAAGCAATTGAAATGATCAGCAAAAATTTGAAAATCATTTGTTGATTTTTCTAAGGAGATACAGAACTTACAATTCTTCATAATGTTATCACGGCTCATGCCGTGTTATTTGTTTACTTAAAGAGAATATCATAATTATAAAAAAACGAAATTCAACAAATCACTAGAAACGGTCTAACAGTATTTACGAGGGTTGTCCCGTAAAATCGTGGACAAGTTGTCTAGCATGAAAAATAAACATCACTGCGTATTGAAATTTTCACTATTATCTAGTACATATTTTAGTAATATACACAGCAAATTTCAGATAAATATATGCATAAATAAACAAATTATGAGATTTTATGCCATATATTGTATCACCTTACGGCGCATGGATTATAACGTCAAAGTGTCTAAAACAGCGTCACGTTTTATCTTTGCTGAAAATGAAGCTGTACGAGTCCGACTTAAATTTAGGAATTTCATTGATACACATTTTTTAGTCTCCAAAAACAGTCGAAGATCCAATTGGCACCCTCATGCGATCTTCTGAAGATTTATTAGTAAGTTACGGGCAATATTCTCACCATCATTCAACTAATAGAAAATCTCATATCGGCGGTCTACTGTGACAGCGTCTTTTGCTATTACATTAGGAGTTTGTCCGTATGTTTTGTACTCCCCAAGGACTCGATCAAAAAAAACTTCGCTAACAAAACTCCTATTTCATTTGTATACTTAAGATATGGTGATATTTTTATAATCTTTTTTTCTTCTATGGTCATTTCAAGTCTCTAAAGGTGTCATTACAACATCGAAATAAAACTGAACTGAACTGTTCTCCTGTGCGCCGTAACGTCATAAAACGTCGCCATTTTTCGTGTGCTGTGTTACCACTTTCCCATTTCGAATGCTCGAGAAACTGCCAAAAATTAAGCAAATGCCTTAAAATTTTTACAAAGACTACAAAATTGATTGTGGAATTGAATTAGGATAATTTTAATCCAAATCTTATGTATTTAAAACTTTTATTTTGAATTCAAACTTGTGTATTCTTTAAGAAAACCTAGAGTTTTTGACCGTGCGTCGTAGGACAATACCTCGTGCACATTCAAGCATAATAAGATCTTTATTTTTTGCCTATATTTTATCAAAAAAATTACCATTCACTTCAATATGATAAATAAACATTTACTGAAATTTTCAGCTTAGTGCGCCCATTACTTTTTGAGAAAAACGCTTTGTCCAAGATTTTACGGGACAACCCTCGTAGAATAAACTATATTGAAAAAATCTGGTTTGAACGAATATATATCAGTATATTTAACCTATGTTAACAAAAGCATGGCGCGGGCCTTGATTACATAACAAAGGTTAAGAGCTCGAAATCTGTCTTGTATTGCAACAACTGAAATTCAAAATTTTGAATATCATTAAAAATACCTTAGTTAAGTTTTGTAAACAAAAAGAAATGGAAAAATGAATTCGAAAATTTTTTAGCTGAAACTGAGTCCATGTCCCTTTAAGGACCTTTGCAGGAAACATTTCTTATGAAGACCTTGATATTTCTGCGTAGACGCTGCAGATTGCTGGCCTTGAAATGCATAAATACATGCTGGTGTGGCAATGACATTATCTCCAAATAGTAAAATAACACGGTCAAAAACAAACTATAAATGATAAAACACGAGTGTGCATTTAGGCATATTTGGGTCGTCTTCATAGAGACCAAACTATTTGAATCCTTGACTAATGTATAAATATCGTACAAAATAGGAAACGACAGATTGGCGGAAAACTACTGAGTTAAAAAGGTGAGTCTAATTGTATATTTATTTTATGCAAAATTTCATAAGTTAATATATTTCATTTAGAACTTATTACAATTCTAGATGACCGAAACAAGGGTTCTTAAAATAGGATTCTTGGGCGCTGGAGCGATTAACTTTGGTCGTTCAAACTTGCCTTGGGACCACGCATCGCGTCTGGAACAACTTGGGGGAATTGATGTCATTGGCATCGTTGAACTGGATGAAAAGTTGGCAAGAAATGTTCTTCAAAAACGACAGTCGTCTGCAAAGTATGGTCATTACTACAAGAACTGCAAAATCCTTAGCAACTACAAAGACCTTATTACGATGCAACCGGATGCAGTATTCATAGGAATCCCTCCCTCTTTCAGAGGATCATCTTCAGAAGGGAAAGATCTCGAGCTTCAGTTCGCACGTGCAGGAATACACGTGTTTGTGGAAAAACCATTGTCTGTAGTACCCCCAGAGGAGTTTATGCCCTATGCAAAAGCTGTTACAGAGACATGCAGGGATAATAACTTGATAGTGTCTGTTGGATACATGTTCAGGTAAACAAAAATGTCGAATTTTAGTCAGGAAAACAAATACTAGTAGTAAAGTAAACTCTGATCTGAATTGGTCATCTGAGCCTTTACTTCTTCTGATAAAGTTAGTCTCGGCATTTGATAATATCATATTCATGTTAACACCTTTAAAAATGATACTTTACAGATACCATGCAGGTATACTCAAAATGAAAGAACTAATAAAGAATCATGGTGGCAAGATAATGGCGTTAAATGCCAGATATTATGCTGCTTACACCGATGGCGTCAGCAAATACTGGTTCAATGGCGATCTAAGCGGAGGACCAATCATTGAGCAGGCTACACACTTCTGCGATTTGGCGCGGTTTATCGTTAGTGACGTAGATCTTTCTACTGTCCACTCTCTCCAGCTCAAAGACTCTGATCCAAGTGGCGCCGGCCATTTGGCGCACATCCCTAATCACGAGGAGGAGGAAATACCCCCTGAACGAAGAAACCCACGAGTAACCATGAGTCACTGGCGATTTAAGGACGGTGGTTTAGGCACACTTGGTCACTCGGCGGTCCTTCCAGGGAGAAGATACGAAACAAACATAGATGTTCAGCTTGATGGTCTCAAACTGTCTCTCATTGAACCGTATGGGAAAGATTGTATTTTGAGGGTTCGAAACATAAACAATAAAGACCCGAATCAGGACCAAGACTTTACTTTTCCGACGGATGACTGTTATCTGACGGAACTACAGGCTTTCATGAAAGCAATCCGTACAAATGATACTTCTTTGATAAGGAGTACGTACTCTGACGCAGCGCTTACGTATCAGTTTACATGGGCCATCCAACGCGCCGCTTGAATTTTTGGTTATGCATTGCAAGACTTTATCATTCGATTGCAATGATTTCATACTAGTATGGTTTACATTTAGAATTTAGATTCTGAATAATTTGTTTCCTCAAAATGCATAGTTTTATTATCGTAACTGTTATAGACATTTTATGCGCCGGATCGATAGATCCAGGGCGTATATTGTTTTTGTCCTGTCTGTTTGTCTATATGTCTGTTGATCTATTTGTTTGTTTGTTGCCAACTTTAACATTCGCCACTTTAAACCCCTTCAACATGTCCTAGCATACATGTTTTGAACATATTGTAACCATAATTCTAAAAGTTAAGACGATGGTCATTTATATAACATGTAATGCATTTTTTTCAATTGTACATTTGAAGGTATATATAAATATTTCTAAATGTAAAATAAATGTCGATAATTCAAATACATATAAAACAGTTTATATGATTCTAAAAACAAAATTAACAATTAAAATAATGGATTGAATCATCATTACCTTGAATAAAAATAAGAAGAAAAACACGTGTGGATGTAACAGATTAAATACAAACTGTGAGGATTAATTAGATAACCAATATCAGTAAGGATAGAAATACAATTGGAAATTTTTTTTTAATCCAGGGTTTTCCAATTCGATAAAAAAAAGTTTAAAATTAACTCTCCTTTTTATGGATTTTAACTGTCTCATTAACATCTCTATCCATAAATGCTTTCCCTGAAAAATCGGTGTAATTTTCGCAAGCCTTGATTGCAGAATTTGGCACCTGATAAAATAGAAACATTTTTATTAAAGAATCTAGTTCTCAGCCAAATTATTGGAGTAAATAATATCATGTTGTAAATTTTGAATTTACTAGGGGGAGGTGAATGCAAATTTATCATGTTGTACATTTTGTATTAACCCCCCCCCCCTTCCTTAGTAAATTCAAAATTTACAACATGATAATAACTTGTTTTGGCTTAGTTTACGCTTTATAATTCACTGGGTGAAAATATTTTATGCTACACTTAACCACATGCAATGTTTACATAATATACTCGTAAGTATTTGAAGTTTTATAATTTATTTTTTCATTTGCCTGAAAACCTGAATCGAATTTATTTTTTTTTTGGTTAATACCTTCTGTAAAGGTGTGTAGCAGGGGTGGTGGTGAACTTTGACCGGGTTGTTATGACGTGTATTATAACACATCAGATACGCCCAGCGCCGTCTGTCGGAATTATTTGGTCCACTGCAGTGAAGCAGATTACAACCGAACATCAGGACGTCACCTTTAAAGTAATACAACGTCAATAGAGCGCAGTAATATATCTGTTTTACTTGCAAAAAATGCAATGGTCAGTCTAGAAAATAGTGGGTGTTTTTGTGAAAGGCCGGGCTATGGCTATGATCAAATTATATTATATAAATATAGCCCTTTGATGAGGTCGATCCAAATTATATCGACTTCACAGAAAAGCATATCGCCCGAGCACGAAGTGCGAGGTCGATATGCTTTTCTGTGAAGTCGATATATCTATGGATTGAGCGAATTAAAGGGCTACATTTGTTATATTATTTTTTACAGAGGTTGATAAAAAAAAACAATTTGAAAAAATGAGAACAAACCACAAGTTTTCTCGCTTAAACACTTAGAGACTAGAAATCAAAATAAATTAAGTTGTTTAATATAACTGTGTTAAACTTCCTTGACATTTTTAAATTTTAACATAATTTAGAGGATTTACTAATTGAAAATACTACACAGGTACATCTTTTTGATTATGTTTTGTATCAATTTAGACAAAGATATTAAATATATTCTCATATTAAGTGCATCCTAATTCAGGCCATTGTTGTGTCCTATAAGTTACAGAACATTACTTTAAATACAAGTTGAAGTATATATATATATATATTTTTTTTTAAGAAACATCAAGTCATATACTGTATTAGCTATAATTGTGTAATCTTCCCTATTAATATTTTGTTTTACAGAAAATTACCTTTACTATAAATAGTAACTCAAGTCTATATGCTGTTATATACTAAATCATGTGACCAACTTAAAGCCAATCAGAGAGCTTGGAATATTTGATTAAAATAATATCATGAAATAATACATATATATATATATTGTTCAAAATCTACTGCTTATAAGTGTTAAACTAGCAATAAACAACCATGATTAAAATGAATTTTACCTCCATTATATGTTTTCAAATGTACTGGAGAAAAGGTTTGTAAAAGTTACCTGGGTTCAGTTCTACGAAAACAACTTCAAGTTTCTTCTTGAGTTCGCTGACTCTGTCAATGTCTGCCCCCGTCTGACCGGCCACCATACTGTGGTCAATCCGGCCACACTTGTGTGATCCCTTCAGAACCTTTCAGTGGAAAATTCATAATTTTTACATCAATTTTCTGCATACCAATATGCCTTTTTAATTTTCTCCCTTAGTTGTACAAGTGAGTGTTTGATAGTTAATTCAAATTAATCAATAAATCAATAAACTAAAACAATGATTTTCTGGAAGTGCTGAAACATAAAGCGACAACGGCGGAAAGTCTGATTCAGAAATGGTAATTCTTATGATAACTCATGTACTGTTCTCTGTTTGACCCCAGTAAATACTCTTGGATGAACATATAGAAAATGTCTGATTAGAATTCTTCTTTTATTTTAATAGAAATGAGAATAATATCAAGAAGATTTAAGTTGGCGAATTTTCCTCTTACCTTCAAACATCCGTTTGTTTTGTCACATTTATCTACTGCCATAAATACAGTTAGCATTTCAGGGAAGAGGCAACCATTTCGGTACCAGTAACTGGCGAAGAAGTTTTATATATTTTCTTAGTAGGCACGCATTAAGATACTAGTACTTTAATATAAAATTATATCAGTCCAATATTGTTAATAATATATCATAAAATGCAAAAATGATGAAAAATTTAACTCTACTTTCAACCGAAAACTTAAACATCCAAAAAGACACTGTTTACATCTTGTTTAGGAATACAATATCCACCTTTTAAAGATTAAGTTAAGAATCAATTTTGCACAGTGAAATACCATGTAAATGGAAATAATGAACAGTATTTAAGCCCAAAAGATCATGAAAAATACACACAAATTTTGTAGCAGAGCATCTCAAAATAAGATGTAGGTTTATAGAATTTTAATCATTAATCAATTCAAGACTGATGCGTGTTACCCGTAGTCTTGGTGCCACAACCATGATCCTCCTGATTTGGGTTCTTTCTGCACTAACTTTCCGTGGTAATGATAAACTTCAAGGTTACCAAGAAGCTGTAATCAATTATATATATAATGTATCATTCGTTTATTTGAAGACCTGGATTGATTTGTTTGTAAACAGGTCTGGTAAAAGTTGGACCATACAATATTGAAATTTATTATCCTTTCGATTCAAGCACCTTTTCAGCAGCATTGACAACTTTTTCTGACCTAGCCGCCATTCCAGTGACGTCACTTCCGGGACTATTCCACACTGTTATGTCAACGTCCCTCCCCAAACCATCTTCAAGCTGTTAAAAACAAAAAATACGTTCATTCACAAAATTTTATTGATTTTTATACATCTGTAGGAAATTAATTTTGACATACATGCTTTGAATTTTATTGGATTTGGTGTGTATTTGAAGTTATGATGACTTGAACATTGAATAATTGTGTAACGACGATAGAAAATCAAGGGAAGGGAACGGTGCAAGAACCAAGAGTTCATCAAACCATGAACTGAGTTGACTTACCACGTAATATACTATCATTGTACGTGTAAAACATAAGAGACTCTTTTAAGTCAGTTGCAAATCGAGCCCGTCAAAGAGCCACTAATACTGCAAATAATGATAAGGCCTAAATTAAAATTTTGTTTGTTTGCCCTTAGCCGACCGACCCACGAAAATAAGCCCGACTCAAAATATTTTATTGTACTTTTCATTTACAAATTTTTTTATTTGATTTGTTTCTTGTCAATTTTTTTTCACATAAAAATATAAATGCTTTGATTTTCCCTTTTCTCAGTCTTGTGTTAATGATTGACATTAGGAACTGAATGAAGTGTTTGACATGGTAGCGGTAAGAAAAAAACACTCGCAGAGGTCTATTTGATCTTGTTGATCATGTTGATGAATGCGCTGACTACCACGTTCATAAAGTTAACATGACTGCCGGTCGTTTGGAGCATGCTACTTATCGATTTCAAAATAAATTTCGCCAACATCACTGGCAAAAATAAAATTGTCATACTTTAATTTAATTACCAAATCCAAGTGGAAAGAGCACAAAAGTAGTTTTTAAAATTTGAAAACAACGAAGGATGTCATGCTTTGTTGATATTTCGACCGCCATGATTAAATTTGGGGTCAGACTAATAAAAGGAAACGCACAATATTGCGAGGTTTTACTATAAGGAAAATATTTCTTGTCTAGACAGTGTGTAAACGTTTAAATAAGACCTGTCTTACAAGTCTCATTTTTAAATAAAAACAACTTTAAAAATGTGAAATCCCAAGAATATATTAATGCAATTAATGAAAGGTGGGGCTAATATCAGTAATACACCCATTGAATGGAATTCAAAAAAAAATTCAACTGTTTCCATATATTGTTTAAAGTAAACAAAGTATTGTTTCAGACTCTTTTAAAAAAGAAATCAATAAACATTTTTGTATTGACATACAAAGATAGATATGCAGCTTATAGTATTCCAGATTTGTTTAATAGGTACTAGTACATTTTGTTCCATGAAGCAAAAGTTCCAATTACAAGGAATATGTACACGGCAATATTGAATTTCTAAAATTTTAGTAGTACAGTTGTAATTTGATGTCAAAAAGAAAAAAATAAAATATTTTTCCTACCTACCTACCCATTGCTAAAAATCTGGGTCGGTAAAGGGCAAACAAACAATATTTTAATTTAGGCCTAAGTCTATTCGTCAGTCATAGGTGCTTTACAATTTTCTGACCAGTATTTTTCATTTCAACTTTGTCTATATAAGCATTGCATAGCCAGGCAGTCTTTATGATCCAAAAAGTAGACAAGTAAGATAGAAGTGACGGGTTAATGTTTTAGAGTGAGATTTCCCCCGTGGTCAGATTTCCCCCTTGGAAGTCTGGAACTAGAGTTAAACTTCACCCAGAAGTCTATCACTAGATTTCCGCAAGGAGTGGGAAGATTCACTCTAGAGCCATGTCTCTCAGAAGGAAGACTTTCTCTTCTGCTAGCTGAAGAGTCAAACCTCAGCCAAATCAGCTCTTTTCCTTATATCAATAACTGCATTCTAAAGATATGCTTTAGTAATAAAACATATACTGTGGTACATTAATTGCTCTTGATTTCCCTGTGAAAGAAATTAATTTGGGTCTGACTATCTGTCAGTATTGAAGATCAAAAGTCCATAAAACAATAGTAAATACAAAACAAGAACAAAGCAAACACAGACCTCCAAAACATCAGAGGTGGGATCATGTGACATGGAGGAGTGAGCATCCCCTGCCGATCGGTCACAACCGCCGTGTACTCATTGTCATGATCGGGAAAAAACGGGAAAATCCGTCATCAATTCAATGTATTATAATGGACTAACAATTAGTATGAAAAACGCAAGTCAGCATTTGACTCAATGATAAATTGTATTTACTGTCAAGGTTATTGTATCGACCATAGAACCTATGAAATGATGCATTTCTACGAGACTGCTGATATTCTTATTTTGTCAATTTGTTTGTCAATAATTTACCTCGTTTTAGAAATTGTTCATACGTAGAACTTGATCTTGCGTATAGAATCAACTGAAATACATGAACTCCATATGCAAGTGACGAAGGTATATCGCTGCATAAGTAAGGGAAGTTGACGATAGAAAGTTAAAGTCATCACATTTACCATAGAGCTTGGTTGTTAGATTACCATTACCGTCTTTTTCAAGTAGAATATCCAAATATGAAACAGATGTGTCAGACTCGGTTGTATCTTTTATCTCAAGTTCACCTTGGCAAATCGTATCGACATAAGAATGAGAATTGCAATTGTTCGTTGACAATACGTCTTCGATATATCTAAATGTCGAGTTGAAGGTTACACCAAGTGTTTTCTTCTTATAACGCATTAGATTTTGCACAAATTCTGCTTCCTAT